ATTAGATTGATCCCTTTGGTTTCTAATCTGAAAATTTGCAGCAAAACCAGGTGGAATTTACTTTGGAAGGCAAGTCTTCTAGAAAGTGTTTCCAAAATTGAAGAGCTGTGCCTGGGTCCCTCTGACTCTAAGCACAGAGCACAGATACAAGTGGTGTTGCATTCTACTATTCTCCCATCTGCTAATAACCCTCTCCGTGCTTCCAGCTGTTGAATACAAATGTGGTTTTCCTTGGCTCTGGTTTGGAAAGCTGAGCTTGGCATCTAGGTTTCCTCCCTTATTGTGAAACTGCTTCCCTTTTTAGGCATGTTACTTCATTTCTCTCTGCCTCTTCTCCCCTTCTGCATGATGCTAACAACGTGGAGTACTGAAATGTGTGGCTGACAAATGATACACGAATGCAAGGCAAATGTTATTGTGAAAACACCTTTACACTTACAAATCTGATGTGTCACTGTGAAATACTAGAAAAGACTTCAGTAGTGTGGCTTAAATATAGTGTGCTGTAATCACTTGCTTTTCCCCGCACGCATATTTCCATTAATTTTCAGTCTCAGGCAGTCAGTGTGAACTAGGCTGGCTTTGCTGCAGGTGTCTTGCCTTGAGTGTGTTTTATTCTCCACTTAACTGGCACCAGAACTATTTCTTGCTTGTCAGTAAAAAGAACCTATTTAGTGCATAGATCTTCTCAGAGACTCAGGCTGTCAGGGGTACTACTGTCACCCCAAACCAGACCCTCAACACTTGTCGTGTTGTGATATTTCCAAGGCAGTTATGATTGAGATAGTGCAGGAAGAAGCAGACTCAAGCCCCTTCTTTCCCCTATCTTCTGCTCAAAGTCGGGAGATTCCAGAGTCCTCACCTGCTCCCCACTATTGGTTTTGGCTACCCCTGGAAGAAAACACCTAAAGAAGTTAAAGGCTTGCTCTTGAGATGGCTTTTGTTTATTCACTTTGTCCTGTTGTCATCTCCTGTATCTGGGAAAATGCAGTTCTTCAGCCTCTTCTCTTCTCTCAAAGGCTACCTTGGCTGCTGGCAGCATGATGCAGGCGCACGGCGATTTTGATGTTGCCCTCTCCAAGTACAGGGTGATAGCCAGCACCATGCCTGAAAGCCCCCCGCTGTGGAATAACATCGGGATGTGCTTCTTTGGGAAGAAGAAATACGTGGCTGTAAGTCTCTGCTTTCCTTTCTTTTTAAATCTGTAGCTAACATCATGCAAGAACAAGATTCCTCTTGTGGCAGCAACAGGAGGTCTGTTTGGGTGGGCTGTGTTACAGCACATTCATTCCTTGTTTTGAAGGCTATCAGTTGCCTGAAGCGGGCGAACTACTTGGCTCCCTTTGACTGGAAGATTTTGTACAATCTGGGGTTAGTCCACCTCACAATGCAGCAGTATGCATCTGCTTTCCACTTCCTCAGTGCTGCCATCAACTTCCAGCCCAAGATGGGAGAGCTCTATATGCTCCTTGCAGGTATGCAATGCTCCGTTACCCAGCTCCATGTACATCCACCTTAGGAGATGCAACATTATAGAGACAGAAAGTTTGGGCTGAAGTAAATACTGGATAAAGATTATACTAAGAAGCTGTTCCCCAGGAGGTCACTGACAGGTATGAAGTCTTAATAGTCTGTTCTCTCTCAGGGGTGACTAGGAAGGTTAAATTGCAGTCAGATGCAGATTAAACATTAAAAAAGACTTCTTACATGTTAGAGTTTGCCTTTGGGTTTCCCAAGGACTGGGTTTGGATTTTCAGGACTGGATATTTTCGGGATCAAGCGAGACAAATGTGTCAGAAGCAACATCATGAGGGTTAATTCTGGCTGCAGTCCCTGCTAGGACCTCTTTATTTAATGATGTAATGCCATTCAGAATTGTCCTAAAAATCATACAATCCCAGCCTGGTTTGGGTTGGAAGGGACCTTAAAGCTCCTCCAGTTCCAACCCCCTGCCACGGGCAGGGACACCTTCCACTAGAGCAGG